TGAGCGACCTGCACGCCTACAAGCTGCGTGTGGACCCTGTCAACTTCAAGGTGAGCACGGGGGCTGGACCCGCAGAGCTCTGGGCACAGGACGCCCGTGGGTTCCAGAAGGTGGCGCCCTAATGCCCCCTAATCCCGCCTCTCTTCACAGCTCCTGAGCCACTGCCTGCTGGTGACTCTGGCCAGCCACAACCCCTCTGAGTTCACCCCTGCCATCCATGCCTCCCTGGACAAGTTCCTGGCCTCCGTGAGCACCGTGCTGACCTCCAAATACCGTTAAGCTGGAGCCACGCCTATCCCTACCCTGGGCTGGGGCCCCTTTGTGCTCTGGGCACCCTCACTTCCTGATCTTTCAATAAAGTCTGAGTGGGCTGCAACCTGTATGGCCTCTGTTCTCTGTGCCTCTGAAGGTGCCAGGGGGGAGGGTGGTTCTCCTTGCTTTTGGACCAGGGGCCTCTCCATAGCTGAGGAAGAGAGGGAAGGAGATAAAATGGCAGAGGAGGGAGTGGAACCAGCCCTGGTCACTGCCTGGGATCCACTGGGCAACCCTCCACTCACTCTGGGTGTTTTGCTGCATACATTCCCCTTCTTGCATTTCGTTGTCAAGCTTCTCTATTGAACAGGAGTTTGCTCAATTCGTTTTCCATGTTTGTTTTCTATGGCATTTACATTCAGAGTTGGAGGGCCTCCAGCCTAGGACCTCAGAGTTCGCCCATGGCTCCTCCCAGAGTTGGACAATAGGGAAGCCATGTGGGTCACGCTCTTTCAGAGTCTAACTGAATGCTCCCCTCTCCATCAAGTGCCTCCCAAATACGCTCACAGTCTAGATGAAATTGGATTTGAGCAGTGCAACTGCAGATGCCAGGCAATTTCCTGGAGGCCTCCTTTTCTCCTGGGTCTAACTCAAGGATGCTCACTCCGTAGGTACTGACGTCCTGGAGCCATCACAGGTCTGGAGGCCCCGTTTTGGGGCCCAGCTGGGCATCCACTGCAGGCTTGCACCTCTGATTCCCCCTAGTGCTGCAGGGAAGAGGAGAGCTAGGGCCAAGGACTCTGTACTCCGATGTGCTTCCCACAGAGCTGGACCCTAGTGCTGCAGCCTCAGAGTGAGGCCTTGAGGTGGCTGGTACTGGCTGCTGTCCAGCCCCAAGCTCCCAACTGAGAGCAGTGTCCTTTCTTCCCCAGGTTCAAGAGCATTTCTTGAAAAATGAGACAGCAGGTCCCCTGCCTCAGTTTGTGATGCTTTTAGCATGGCTGGTGACTGTCTGAGCTCTCAGTAAGAGGCAGTCTTCCTTATTATTGGAAAAAGTGAGGGAGCAACTCAAATGTCCATCAGCTGATAAACAGACCAACAAAAGGTGGTCTATCCGTACAATAGAATGTTGTTCCTTCATAAAAAGCAATGGAGTATTGATACATAATACAAGGTGGGTAAACCTTGAAAATGTGCTAAGTGAAAGAAGCCAGCCACAAAAGACCGTCTACTGCATGATTCTATTTATTTGAAATATCCAGAACAGGCAAGTCCACAGAGACAGAGTGAAGACTGGTGGTTGCCAGGGGTGGGAGCAGGAGGGCTATGGAATGACTGCTAATGGACACAGAGTTTCTGTGTCCATTTGGGGTGATGAGAAAGTTCTGGAACTGGATAGTGGTGATGATTGCACAACAGTGTGACTGTAATTAAGGGCACCAAATTGTACACTTTAAAATGACTAAGATGGCAAATTTTGTGTTATGTGAATTTTACCATCACTACTGCCACAACAAAAAGAGTGGTGCCTGGCACAGAATGAGTGCTGCGTAGGTATTAACTACTATTATTATGATACATCCTAGGCACTCAATAAATGTTCACTGTCCTGAAAGGAACATCTGCTATAAGCGAAGCACTTAACATTTCTTATTCATTTAATTTTCACAACCATCTTGGGAAGAATAAATTTTATACAAAAAATAAGAAAATAGACTACTCATGGAGGTGTCATAATAGACTTGGGAGGGAGGTAGAATAAACTGATCAGCAATGACAAAATCCACGCTAAAGTTTTGTGTTACTTAATAATCATACATATTAAATATTAGTTTCCATATAGCAAATATTACAAAAATGGGGACCTCAGGGTCCAGGGCGATTGGGAAGGCCCCAGGTCAGAGCAGATGGAGATTGGCAGCTTCGGGATCCCTCGGCACTAAACTCAGCGGCCTGGCGCCCCCTAGAGGCCGTGGGGACCTGCTGGCGGGTTGGTGCAGGCGCAGCCCGGGGCGCTAAGCTCGCTCCGGGCCGGGCTCCAAGATGGTGCTGTCGGCGGCAGACCAGGCGGCCGTGCGCGCTCTGTGGAGAAAGCTGGGTAGCAACGTCGCCATCTACACTACGGAGGCCCTGGAGAGGTGCGGACAGGCCCTAGCGGCCTCTGGGCTCACTCGCCTTCCTGCTCGCTGCGGGGATGCCCCCGCACCCCGGGGGCGCACCTCACTCGCCCTTCCTCCCAAAGGACCTTCCTGGCCTTCCCCTCCACCAAGACCTACTTCCTCCACTTGGACCTGAGCCCCGGCTCCACCCAGATCAAAGCCCACGGCCAGAAGGTGGCCGACGCGCTGACCCTGGCCGTGGGCCACATGGACGACCTGCCCAGCGCCCTGTCGGCTCTGAGCGACCTGCATGCGCACAAGCTCCAAGTGAACCCCGTCAACTTCAAGGTGAGCATGCGGCCCGGTGGGGGCTGGACCCTCTCACCAGGGGAGGGGGAGTTCCCACAAGGGGAGGATGTGGGGGGACAGATGGACCTCGGTGGGGACCACTCCGTCCCTCCGCAGCTCCTGGGCCACTGCCTGCTGGTGACCCTCGCCCGCCACTACCCCGGAGACTTCAGCCCCGCCCTGCAGGCCTCGCTGGACAAGTTTCTGAGCCACGTGACTTTGGCCCTGGCCTCCAACTATCACTAAACTAGGGGCGGGCAGTCGCGGGACACCCCTGCCTTCCTTTCCTGAGACGTTCCAGTGTTAAGAGTAAAGGCCACGAAAGAAAGCCTCAGCCTGCGTGCGTGCATGTGTTCCCTGGGTGGGCGCCCTGAGGCGTTTGGTACCCTGGGTCCCAAGGGGCATATTGTAAACCTCGACCCACCATGCCCTTGGCTGCAGCCACTTGGAGACGCAGGCCAGAGGCTTCAGCCCATCGGGAGCGGGGTGGTCTGTCGGGGGTCTTGGGCTTGCCCTAGTTTATGAGACCTGGCCCCTCCTCAGAGGGCCTCGCTTTGGGGGACTCCACGCAAATCTAGTTAGAGCGGGACCAGGTCCCTCATCCACCTAGAACTGGGGCGGTATCAGGGCTGCGGGGCACAGCCCCTGAGAAAGTTAGGGAATGGCGCCCCCTGCCGGTGAGGAGAGGACTTACTCAGAGACCAACCTGCAAAACGGTACACAAGCGGCTCTAGAAGGGTATTGAGGACTTTAGGGATCCAGGCGGCTTGGGGTGAAGCCAGACTCCACCTGGTGGAAGGAGGTTCGTCCTGCCCAGTACAGAGTCACGTAGCAAAGTGGGCCAGGGAGGCGGCCCAGAGTCCTGCCCACACCCACACTTCTAAGCAGACATGTCAGACTGCTTTCTTTTAAAATTTTTTCCTCATTAAATCAATCACGGTCATTGCAGAAACTTCAGAAAATGCAGTTACTCCACTTCCTGTGCCTTCTTATGTAACCTAGTGGGTCCAGCACATCCATTATTCTTTCAATTCCTGTTTGACACATGGGGAAACTGTGTGTGAACAAATGGGAGGACATAGGAGTCAGGTACAAGAACATGCCTGTGACACACACACACATAGACAAACCACACACAAACAGATCCAAACACACACACTGGCAGAAAAAGCCCCAATCAGAAATGTAACAAGGTAACATTTAATATACAGCCTTCCAGGTAGTTCTAGAGACATTTAGAGATATTTTTCTTAAGAAATAATATCCTCGCCCTAGTTGGTTTGGCTCAGGGGTTAGAGCATGGGCCGCAGACCAAAGGGTGGTGGGTTTGATTTCTGAACGTCAAGGGCATGTACCTTGGTCGCAGGCTCAACCCCAGGCCCTAGTCCAGGCTCATGAGGGAGGCAACCAATCAATGTGCTTCTCTTACATTGATGTTTCTCTCTCTCCCTCCACCTCCTCCCTCTCTTCCACTCCCTCTAAAAATCAATGGAAAAATACCCTCAGGTGAGGATTAAAAAAAAAAAAAAAAAAAAAAAAACACA